TACTGGAAAAATAGGATGCAGATTTGGTTAGAAGCAAATAGCTATGAGATGTGGGATTGCATTGCTAGAGGACCTTATAAAGTGTTAGCTAGAGACAAGGATAACCAACTTGTTCCTAAGGATCCTGCATCATATGATCAAGCTGAAAAAAAGAAACTGCAGTTTAATGCTCAAGCTAAAAATGCATTATTTTGTGCTTTACATCCTAGTGAATATGATAGAATTAGTGCATGTGATTCTGCTAAGGAAATGTGGGATAAATTACAAGTGGCTCATGAAGGAACTAATGATGTCAAGAAATCAAAAATTAACATGTTGGTTCAAAAATATGAGCTGTTCAAAATGAAATCAGATGAAGAAATTAAAGATATGTTTACTCGTTTTACCAAAATCACTAATGAATTTAAGCTTTTTGATAGGGTGCTTCCGGAGGAAGATAAGGTCAGAAAAATTCTTCGTTCCTTGCCAAAATCTTGGAGCTCAATCAAGACAACAATAGAAGAAGCTCATGATTTAAGTGCCATGACTGTTGAGATGCTGCAAGGGAAGCTCCTTACACATGAAATGGCCATGAAAAATTATGAAAGTGATGATGATTCTCGGAAGAAAAAATCTGTAGCTTTCAAAAGCTCCTCCAAAGATGAAAGTGACAGTGATGAAGAGGATGATGAAGAATTTATAGTGCTTGCTCGAAAGTTTAAGAGTTTCCTAAGGAAAGAGAAGCTGAAGAATCAAGGACAACAAAAGAAAGATTACAAAAGCGGTAAAGGAAAGGGAGAAAGCAGTAAAAAGGATGAGATTATTTGCTACAAATGCAAGAAGGCTGGACATATTAAATCTGAGTGTCCAAACTATGGTAAAAAAAGTCTAAAAGCCAAAAAGAAAAAGAAGGCAATGGTTGCCACATGGAGCTGCAGTGAGGACTCATCTTCTAGTGAAGAAGTAAGTGACATGGAAGCTCATATTTGTCTCATGGCAAATGATGACGCAAATGAGGTAAATTCCATCTCTTCTTCTAATTTTGATCATGCTAGTGATGATGAAATGCCATATGAAGATTTGCAAGATGCATTTAGTGAATTATATGAGCATACTAAACAAATTAGTGCAAAAAATGCATCTTTAAAAAGGGAAATTTTGTCACTTAGAAAAGAAAACAGTGATTTGAAAGAATCTTTAAATGAGGAAAAGATAATTAGTCAAAATTTGGAAATTAACTTGGAAGAGTCAACAATTGCATTTAGAAATTGCAAACAAAAGCTGATTGAAGAGTATGATATGTTGGTAGATGAATTAAAAGGGAAAATAAGCTCTCTTGAATGTTCTTTGAACAATTTTGTGAAAGGCAAAGGTAAGTTAGACAACAATTTAAGTTCACAAAGATTTCCTCATAATAGAGCTGGACCTTCTTTTGAATTATC